CGATGACTAAATTTATTCATATATTATAATAATTATAATTATGTTTATATTGAATATTATTCTGATTATGAAAATAAAATCCAAATAATTTTCCTATAAATGTCTTGGATATGAATTCAATGTTTAACAATAATCTTAATTGAGTTTATGGCCAATCCTATTGGACTGGAACAGTATATCATTGCAATGGTAGGCAAGTATTAATGTTAAGTTTTGCGTGATAACAATCAAGCTATTGTACATTTTATTACATAATTTAATAATTTAAGTTCAAATCTTGCGCTAAATAGTAACCAAGCAATTTGAATGGTTTAGTAGTGAGCACGTGACTCAATGTAGAATGTGCCTGTGCAATTTATAACTGTAATACAATCAAGTTTAACTATTAGTCACATAGAGCCCAATGTTGTCGACTGTGTGACAGACACCCAATAGTCCATTCAAAGGGTTAACTATTATTTGATGATATTTACGACAACTAGTGATACCTTATTAACACTGATTGTGACCAATGGTCACTCCATTCACAATCAATAGGTATGACTTGTATAACCATTTTGACAGTCAAACAAAACCTTTTGAACATTTCGTCATTCAATTGATGCAAACATTGATTTACTTGTCATTTGAAACAACTGTATAATTAAATAGATATCAATATAAATGCAAATGAAATGTTAATTACTGCTAAATATTTTCATAAAAGTCTAAATGGATGTGAAACTAATAAATTTCTTCAAACAATTGCTTCTCATTTAGTTTTGTGTGAAAAAGTTGTCTGTTTTCACTCAAAGAGTGTTTTGAGTGACAAAAGTCAAGACATGACAGACAAAGACATTTACGACGAGAGATACTTTCCTCCGAGTCTTCGGACAGCCGGTCAGTCGACGTATAAATTCAAGCAATACTTCCACGAAAGCCATTATCAGAGGAAACCACAGATCGATAGCATTCTGAACGCTGCAACCAAAGTGTGGACGACTACCTGTCATATGATTGAACCCAAAGAAGTGGTGTTCACCGCATCCAAACCCAGGAAGAAGGACTCGGAGGCCATTGCTATGGGGAAGGCATTGATGTGGTTGAGAGACAATGGTTTGCATCCATTTATTTGTTCAACATTTTCAATGAATGTCTAAATTATTAATTTCATTGCTTATAGACTTCGTTGACAATGGTTTCAATGCAATCAAATTGACAAACAAACAAATTCAAGACTTTTATCACTCGACTAATGGTCCGATTAGTATCAAACCAATTAGTGGTGGTCTTAAGGATGAGATGAAGAAGTTCTGCGACTCTTTTGACGTGAATTTAAAGGATAAAATTGTTGACATTTGTCGCGCTTTTCGACAAAAAGAATTTGCTTTCAATAGTTGTGACGAAATCTCGACTGAAGAAGAAGTGAAAGAGCCGTCGACTTATGGATCAGTTGTTCGCAATGTCTTTAATAATACTGTATATGAAGAAAGTAGTGATGAGCTTATAATTGATAGGGAATTGCAATTGAATTCATTTATCAACAAAAGAAAACGTCGGGAAGAAAGTGACGACAATTATCGACGACTTCGTGAGAAAATAGGAGACCTTCCCATCAATAAGTTTAGGCAACAGATCTTAGAAACGATTGAACAAAACCGAGTTATTGTGATCACTGGAGACACGGGTTGTGGGAAAACCACTCAATTGCCACAAATGATATTCGAGAGTGAGATCAGCCAACAAAGAGGTGCCTTCACTAACATCGTGGTCAGTCAACCCCGCCGTTTGCCAGCCATTGCTATCTCACACCGAATTGCTTCGGAATTTGGCGAAGAATCGATTGGAAACTCGATTGGATATCACATTAGATTTGACAAAACTCTTCCCAAACACTCCAATGGAGTCATTCTTCTCTGTTCCGCAGGAATTCTGTTACGAAAGCTCGGCTCAAATGCTGGTCTTAAAGGTGTCAGTCATGTGATCATCGATGAGGTTCACGAAAGAGACGTAATAACAGACTTTTTGTTAGTTATGCTCAAGAGATCACTCAATTTGAATCCCAATCTTCGAGTGATTTTAATGAGTGCTTCGATGAACGCCCAACTCTTTTCCCAATACTTTGATTGCCCTCTCATTGAAGTCCCGGGACGTTGTTATCCCGTCAATCATTTCTATTTAAACGATTTCTCATCTAAAATAGCAAATCGTAGTTCACTTCAGACTTTCTCTGAAAGGAATCCAAAAGTAGACATAAATATGACTAAAGATTTAATTGATTACATCGACCGTAAGAAAGGTGACGGCGCTATACTATGTTTCCTTCCGGGTTGGGCTGAAATACAAGCCGTTTCCACTGAATTAGAGAAACTAAATAGCGGTTCAAACCATTTGATAATAATTCCTGTCCACTCGAAGCTTCCGAGTGCATCGCAACAAAAGATCTTCACGCGACCACCGGTTGGCATAAGAAAAGTTGTTTTGTCGACAAATATCGCCGAAACGTCGCTTACGATCGATGATGTCGTTTATGTAATCGATTCCGGATTAGCCAAAGAAATGCGTTTTAATACACGGCTTAATGTCTCAAGTTTTGGCACACATTGGATATCCCGAGCAAATGCTAAACAGAGAAGTGGTCGCGCGGGTCGGGTCACAGAAGGCCAATGCTTTCGTATGTATACTCGAGACACAGAATCAGCGATTATGGATGAGTTCCCGACCGCTGAGATCTTGAGAGTTCCCTTAGAGAACGTGGTGATGACCGCTAAGTTTCACTGTCCCGACGAACCTATTAAACAGTTTCTGTCAGCAGTGCCACAGCCGCCCACCTTTGAAGCCATCAATAGAGCCATCGAGTTATTGAAAGGTTTGAAAATTCTGGACGAAAAGGAAAATCTAACAGTTTTAGGCAAAAGAGTCGTCAATTTTACATCAGATCCAAGACTTTCTGTAGCTTTAGTTTATTCTTCATTCTTCTCATGTGTCAAATCAATGCTTCCAATTGTGTCACAATTGAGTACAAACCGCGAGCCCTTCGAAGTGATGTCAACTGAGAAACTTCTGGTTCGACAGACAAAAGATTCCTTTTCTTATGATATAATGTCGGATCACATCCCGTATGTGGACCTCACTCTAGAATACCAACAAATAACTAACAGCGGGACTGATGTTGACTTGATTTGCTATATTGAAGACAATCATTTGCATCGATATTCAATGAACACTATTTTAGAAACTATGAAACAATTGGCCTCTCATTTAGAAGAGTCTCAATTCATAACGAGAAACAGTTGGAAAAGCATTACAAGTGACGTGAATATCAATTGGCACCGAAAATATCTGCTTACCTGTGCTTTAGTGCCGGCTTTTGTCTCCAATTGTGTGCGTCTCTTGAGAGGAGAGGTAAGGAACCAGAGAATCAAAGACAACGCCTTATATCCGATTGATGTGAAGAATGGATCGAAAGTGAAATTCACGGCCGAAAGTGTTTTCCACAAGAATTTCAAT